GGCCTTCCTGTCGCGCGGCACCGCGACGGCGACGGTCACGCTCACCCCGACGCACATGCTGCCCGCCGGTCCCGGCAAATGCGCTCCCGCCCGCCTCCGCGGTGCCCCTCCGGGGGACGGTCGGGCTCGCATCGGGAGAGGCAGGGGTGTTTGTGGTGCTGGGGTTAGAGACGCGCCTGCACGAGCGTGCCCGCGGCCGGCGACGCGAGCCAGATCGTCTCTCCGACGGCAACCTCGGACGCCTGCTTGAGCGCCTTTGCCGGGCCGGCGGGCAGCTTGTGCGTCGGGGTGAGCGTGACCGTCGCCGTCGCGGTGGCGAGCGAGAGGAAGGCCGCCTTGGCGGACGGGTCGGCCAGCGAGAAGGAGGAGACGACGTCGAAGCCGAGGGTGCCTAGTAGAAGTAAGCGACTGTGAAACAGATGAAAACGCTCTCACGCAATCGAAAGCGAGGGTGCCGTCGGCCGCCGCGGCGAGGATCGAGTCGCCGGCGGAGAGGGAGGAGAGGAGGGCGGTAACGCCGTCGGCGCGCTGCACCGTCGCAGAGCTCGGGAAGCACGGCGGGTCCGTGGACTGCGGCTCCACGGCGGGTGAAGGCGACGTTGGCGGCGGCGGCGCGGGCGGGGCGGAGGGCGGCGGCGGCGCGGGCGGGGCGGAGGGCGGCGGCGGCGCGACCGCGCGCGGCTCGGTGTCCTCGCGTTCGTTGACGTTGGGGTCGACCTCGACGGGCTGATTCAGGATGTTGCCGGCTTGGGTTGCCGACATCCCCGCGAACTCATAGTTCGCGTTGCGCACGGCGGAAAGTGTGTTGCCATCCTTGAACACGCTCGCCGTGCTCGAAGCAGTCGTTTGCGCAGTCTGGAGTGCCCGACGGGCTGCCGATTGCTCGACGGGGTGGAGCGTCACGGTGAGGTCGCACTCTGGCGCGAAGCACTGCTGCGCAGAGCGGAAGGAGGCCTCGAGTTCGGTGACGTCGATGCCGTTCACTTCGGCGGAGATCGTGACAACGATGGTGAACTTGATCACGGACACTTCCTCCACGACAATGCCCTCGGGGAGGGGTGAAAAGGGCGGCTGCGAGGGCGGCGGCGGCGAGGGCGGCGGCGGCGACGGCGAGCCGGAGGGCGGCGGGGGCGGTGGCGATGGGCAGCCAGTGCCCGTGTTCGGGGTGGCCTGGAACGTGCAAGATTCCGGGCATAGGACCGTATAGAAAAGTTGACCTGGCAGTAAGTCTGCGCCCCCTTGAGGGCACAAATCTGAACATGTTTCAGATTGCAATTCCGAAAGTGAGGCCACATTGTCAACAAGATAATCTTCGGCAGTATAATTGTGCAAGCCGGCACAAGACACCGGGCAGAGGTAGCGAAAAAACTCTGAGGCCTCACACCAGGTTGGGCCTGTCGCTGGCTCTGCTGAGCATGGCTGAGCGTCATTGGGGTCCTGGCAATTGCAGCTTTCGCAGCACCACGTGCCATTTGTTGTCGAGGTTATATCTGCGCATATGCTCTGGCCAGACCCCGGCCGAACGGCGCCGCCGAGCGGCCGGGCGCTTCGGGTTGGGCCCGGTCGGCCGGGCCCCCGGGAGGCAGGGGCGGGCGCGGTCGGGAGGGGACGCCAAACCGACCAAATCGAAGTGGGGCGCCGCGATCCTGGGCTGCGAAAATGATAGCAATTTGTGGCAGAGAAAAGTTGGCCCAGGAGAGCGGACGCGCGCAAGCAAACATGCACCGAGAGTGCATGTCAGTGAACGAGATATGGTGCATGTGTCCGTGGGCGCGTTCTGCGATGAAGCAGCGGTTCGGGCGTGGCTGGAGAATGACGGTCAAGGCAACATCAACGCGTCCTTCAGCGACAAGGATCTCGACTTCACCCCGCTGATGGCCGCCGCCGCCCACGGCCACGAGCGGGTGGTCGAGATGCTGCTACAGCGCGGCGCGGATGTCAACCTCAGAACATCGTCGGCGTCACCGCGCTGATGCTCGCCGTCCGCTATGGCCTCGAGCGGGTGTTCGAGCTGCTGCTTCAGCGCGACGCGGAGATCAACAAGCAGAACAGCTACGGCGACACCGCGCTGATGTTCGCCGCCTGCTGCGGCCACCCAGCCATCGTGCTCCACCTGCTGAGAATGGCAAGTCCACACTGCAGCACGCCAGGGAGCAGGGCCACAGCGAGTGCGTCGAGGCCTTCCGGCAGCACATCGCGGAGGTGACTGCGACCCGGCGCGAAGCGGCGGCGGGCGGCGCGGGCGGCGCTTCCTCGGGCGAAGCGGCCTCTTCCGACTCACTGGTTACCCTTCCCAAAGAGGCGTTTGAAGCGGCCCTCCAAGGCGACGAGGCGGCGCTGCTGGCGTGGATTGACAGCGGCGGGCAGGTCAATGCGACTTGCGTGGTAGACGATGTGAGCGGCGTCACCGCGCTGATGCTCGCCGCCGAGAAAGGCCACGAGCGAGTGGTCGAGCTGCTGCTGCAGCACGGCGCGGATGCCAACTTGCAGAACAGCAATGGCGTCACCGCGCTGATGCTCTCCGCCTCCAACGGCCACGAGCGGGTGGTCGAGCTGCTGCTTCGGCACAGCGCTGAGGTCAACCTGCAGGACGGCGACGGCTACACTGCGCTGATGCTAGCCACCATCAAAGGCCACGGGCGGGTGGTCGACTTGCTGCTGCGGGCGGGCGCGGATACAAAGCCGCGTAACGCGCACGGCAGGTCCGCACTGCAGGTGGGCACGGAGCAGGACAACAGCGCGAGCGTCGAGTCTTCACGGCAGCACACCGCGGAGGCAATTGCAGGCCGGCGCGAGGCGGAAGCGGAGGCAGCGAGGAATGCCGACGCGTTGCTAGCAGAGGTTGAGGCGGAGGCGCAGGCCGAGGCCGCCAAGAGCAAGAAGAAGAAGAAGAAGAAGAAGGCCCCAAGGGTGGAGGGATCGACGCGGCCGGGGAGGTGGAGGCAGCGGCGGCAATAGATGAGGCCGAGGCGCCGGCGGAGGAGGGAGCCAAGGCGGTGGCGGCGGAAGAAGAGGCCGGGGCGGCGGCGGAGGAGGAGGCGCTGGCGGCCGCGCTCGAGGAGAGCGCGAGGCTGGAGGAGGAGAGGCGGGCGGCGGAGGCGCAAGGGCCGTCGTCGTCGGCACAGGCGCCGGCTCCGAGAGAGGCGGAGCCGCCGGCCGACTTCATCTGCCCGATCACAACCGAGGTCATGATCGACCCGGTGATGGAGGCGGATGGCCATTCGTACGAGCGGTCGGCGATCGAGCGCTGGCTCGCGACCAAGTCAACGAGCCCGATGACAAGTGCGGAGCTTGAAAACACGGGCCTCTTCCCAAACCACACGCTCCGCCGGATGATCCGACAGTGGCAACAGACCGTTCGGTCTGACAGTCTTAACCCCGACAGCGCCTGACAGTGCCGAGCCTGACAGCTCTGACAGCACGTTCTCTGACAGCCCGGCCAACAGCATGTGTCTGACGGTCTGATAGCAGAGTCTACCATGCGAGACGCTTCCGTGCTGTCAGACAGCCTGACAGCTGTCCGACAGCCCGATAGCACACAGTGGCCTGAGCCCTGAGACAGCAGCGCTGACAGCTCGACAGCCCGACAGCGACACGCGACACCTCGCGACGCAGCACCAGCAGCACAGACCGCACAGCTTCTTTCTTGTGCCCCATGAGGGTATAACACTTTTCAGAACTAATTACACGCAAAGGGGTACGCTCTATATGGAGATTTAAGTACTTTAGAGAGACATTGTTTGTGGATCTCGGTGGTTGTGCACGCTCAGCAAAGGTAAGGTAAGCGTAAGGTAAGGTAAACGTCTCCACACGCACACAAAGTGGTGGGGCAAGGGGGGGCGACCCTCGCATCTCCACGCCCGGACACGGGCAGGAGCCCCAGCAAAATACATAGACATATCAAAAGTGAGAGTCGACACAAGATCACTTCACAGGACACATACCAGCTTGCGAGGCAATATGTGGAACCTGTGCCGTGTCACTTACTTGGTGGGGGAGGCGGTGCTGCGCGATACGGTCCGCACACGAACAAATGCACAATCACACAAAACACCGCTCCGGCGCGCCTCTCGTCGACGCTCCCACTCGCACGATGGACGGAACAACAGCGCCCCGGCAGAGAGAGTGCACCCCGCGTTCTCAGCCATCGCGTGGCAGCTCGAACACAGCCAAACCGTGCTTGGAGCCGCCGAGCTCAAAGACGCCCTCCGCCGCCTTGAGCCGGGCCTGCGCGGACCTCGCTGCCTGCTTGGCCTCCTTGCGGGCGGCCTAGAGGGGCCAGGCGGTGTGAGCAACGCAGGAGGTGTGTGGAGGTCTGTCTGCCCGCTCTCGACTGTCCGTGCGTGTGATCTGGGGCCCGGGGGCTGTGCGTTTGTGAGGAGGGCTTGCGTTGGCTTCATTGTCCTTGCGACTGAACCGCCTCCGCCAGCGGCATCTCTGCTACCTTGGCCATATCTCGGCTGCATCACGTTTAACTGCGGCCTTGTCCTGTGACTGCATCGCCTCCGCCAGCTGCGCCGCGCTCCGTCCCGAGAGGAGGCGCTCCTAATTCGTGATGAATGAATGGATGAATTGAATGAATGAAAGAATGAGTTAGCTCCGTCCCGAGAGGAGGCGCTCCAGCAGCCCCTCCTCCACCGCCACCGCCGCCGAGGCGCCCGAGGCGGCGCAGCGCAGCCGCAGCAGCGCGAGGAAGCACTGCTCCTATTGTGCCGCCGACTCGAAGCTAAGTGACGCGCTGCTCAAGCCGCAGCTGCGCGAGGAGGCAGCACGGCACCTGCGGCTGGTTCAGTCTAGGAGGTGTCTTGGAAGTGTCTAGGAGGTGTCTAGGAAGTGTCTAGGAAGCACGGCTCCTGCGGCTGGTTCAGTCTAGGAGGTGTCTTGGAAGTGTCTAGGAGGTGTCTAGGAAGTGTCTAGGAAGCACGGCTCCTGCGGCTGGTTCAGTCTAGGAGGTGTCTTGGAAGTGTCTAGGAGGTGTCTAGGAAGTGTCTAGGAAGCACGGCTCCTGCGGCTGGTTCAGTCTAGGAGGTGTCTTGGAAGTGTCTAGGAGGTGTCTAGGAAGTGTCTAGGAAGCACGGCTCCTGCGGCTGGTTCAGTCTAGGAGGTGTCTTGGAAGTGTCTAGGAGGTGTCTAGGAAGTGTCTAGGAAGCACGGCTCCTGCGGCTGGTTCAGTCTAGGAAGTGTCTAGGAAGTGTCTAGGAGGTGTCTAGGAAGTGTCTAGGAAGCACGGCTCCTGCGGCTGGTACTCGAACTTCTCGAGCGCCTGGCGAGCAACACGTTGGGTCACGGACCGTGGCACACCTCGTTCTCCAGCCGCCCGCTCTCGCCAGCGCCTGCGAGGCGGCCTCGACGAGCAGCCTACGGTGTGGGTGGACATATCTCCCCCATATCTCCCCCATATCTCCCCCGTATCTCCCCCGTATCTCCCCCGTATCTCCCCCGTATCTCCCCCGTATCTCCCCATATCTCCCCCGTGTCTCCCGCGGGCTAAGGGGTGTGGACACGCCAACGTCAACCTCGGGGGGCGGGAAGGCGGTACTGTGCAGAGTACGTCGGTACCTCGAGGTACTGTGCAAGTACTCCGAGCACCGCGCGAACGCGGGGGCGACGAATACATCGAATGCAGCGGAGTCCGTAGGTCCTCTCGAGCGCTAGCTGAATAC